ATCAACCTGCTCTGGGTTTTCAGAAGCTCTCGCGCCAGCTTCGATAGCGACATCTCCTGTTCGTAAATAACGCGGTCTTGCTCCGTGCCAAGCACGTCGTTCGCGCTTGATCGCTCGACACTATATTCATGGGAGTGCATGACAAAACCATCCTGACGCTCGTGAGGGCTAGGAAAAGGTGCCGTGCTTTCCAAATGTGGTTGAAGAGTATCAGAAAGGGCTTGCAATCGTGGTAATTGCTGCTGCTGCTGTTTTTGGTGCTGCGCTTGTTGTTGATGATGGAGTTGGTAGTACTGGTGTGGTTCTAGGTGGTGCTGTGGATGCGGCCATGTCTCTTCTTGTTGTTGCCGCTCCTGTATTTCCTGCTGCTGCTGCCGCTGTCGTGCTTGCTTTTCTTCTTGACCTGCTCGTGGTGGTTGTTGTCGTTGTTGTTCTTGGTAATGTTCTCGCCGTGGCGGTGCCTGCCTTTGTCCTGGAATTTCCCCCTCGCGTTCAGGAGAAAAGGACATGCTAGGCTTCCCACAGGAGGAAAACCTGGATGTGGTGTTGGTATGCAATAAAGATGTGGAAATGACAGTGTTTAGATGCCAGGCATGCAATACACGTCCAAAACTCGCGTCAAAGTGATGATCGCTAGACTGGATCAAGTCACGGGAATAAAACGTCAAATAATTCCAGCCAGCACAAGAAGGAGAGGGCTTGACACACTAACATCGTCTCAGCTGTATGTCAAATATCTGACAAGCGTCTCATGAAAATACCTTCCGACCAATTCGAAAACCAAAAGACGGCTGTCACCCCAAGAAAAGAAGGGGGGAAAAGTCAAAATTAATCAAATTGTTTTTTCCCCTCCCATAAAAAAAAGCGACGGGGCAGGGGGCCGAAAGGGCTTGGGTGGTTGAGAACCACAGGAGACTTCCGCTCTGTCACAGTGTCCTTTTCACGCCGTACAATGCCACCGTACTTTCCTACGCGTGCCCTTCATTCATTTGTAGGTTTGTGTGCTCGCCATGCGTATGCATAGACGCACATGGATTGACCTCGATATCTGAGCTCGCTAGCCTCCCCTCCCTTCCTTCTCTGGATACTCCCATTTTCTCTTATCTGTTACATGCTTCCAAAACCCCATGCACGCACTTCGAAACCCATGAAACAGGAAGCTTTTCAAGAATTCTCAAACAGGACCAAGATGGTGGAAGAGCACGAGCCTGAGAACCCGAAAGTCGAGGAGGAAGGAAGCGAGGAGGAGGAGGAGGAGGAGGAGTCTGAGGAGGAGGGGGAGGAGACAGGGGCGGGC